GCTTTAAAAAGATGGAACAGTAGACAGAAAACTGAATATGGAGGTCACAACGAGAAGAGGGATCATCGTTTCAACTTAGAGCTAAATGCATTCTTATTGTTCAAAGCAGAGTCCAATAGTTTTATAAAACTTCGGAGAATTCCAGTAAGTTATCTTTAATCATTTCTAAGATACAACGGTTCAAAGTTAATCTGACAATTAGACAATTTTGCTGTTACCTGGTATATATATATATATATATATATATATATATATATATATATATATATATATATATATATATATATATATATATATTGTAATTATTTTTTAAAATTATGATTCCATCATTGACACAGAAATTACTGTTTCGAAATTGACTCAAATCATAAAGTTTAATATTGAAATTAAACTTTATGACTTGAGTCAGTTTCGAAACAGTAATTTCTGTGTCGCGATGGAATTATATTTTAAAAAAAATAATTATGACTTTAATCTCTATCTCTGTATCGAACACTGATTTTTACAAATAAAAACGTAAATACTAAAGAACTTTGGATCATTAATCTAACTGTCCTTTCCTATTAAATCAACCCCCACCACACACACACACACATATATATATATATATATATATATATATATATAAGATATTTTTTATGTTTATACGTTATTTTTTTATAGATACAATTATATAAGTAAATGCTCTGTTTATAATAAACAGTATTAACAACATTTACCGGCCTGAATGTCCGAGAAATTTTCATAGAAAATATTCGTCCTTTGACAGGAATCGATTGGGCCACAGAGGAGCATTGGGTTAGCAAGGTCGATTGTAATGTTTTAAACACAATTCACCATGATTTTCTCTCGTTCATTCATATCTGCTCAATGCGTATCCAAATGTAAACAAATGACGTCATACATTATGAAATAGACAAAATCCGACAATTATTTAAGACAGTTTTTTTTTTTTTTTATCTTTATACGTTCTTTTTATTTGTATCTATAAAAAAGAACGTATAAACATAAAAAATGTCTTAAATAATTGTCGGACATTGTCCATTTCATAATATATATATATATATATATATATATATATATATATATATATATATATATATATATATAGAGAGAGAGAGAGAGAGAGAGAGAGAGAGAGAGATAGATAGATAGATAGACAGACAGATAGATAGATAGATAGATATGTGTGCGTATGAGTGTTTGAAAGGAAATGCCTAAAATAATTATGTAAAGTTTCAATTCATTGTTTTGATTCTGTAACTCATTTTCAACTGTTTATATTTGATCTCCCGCTGTTTTGTTTCTGAGAGACGTTTCTCTTATTCTATAACTTTGCTTGCTTCAATAGCTTGCATTTCCTTGTGTGCATTGTGGATCGATAACCGTTACGTTATATACTAATCTAAGAAGACAAAAGAAGGACATGAAACCGAGGTTAGGAGATTATGTTTCAATGACATTTTAAGTGAAGACGGGCTTTTTTCCCGCTTAGAAATAAGTCCTTTTGAATAAACCAATCTAATACTCGAACTCCGACCCCTCTTTACGTTGGCTGCAAATAGGCACCAACTACCAAACATGATATTTCGTAATTAAAGTTATAGCTCTTCATAAATTATACGCCGAATTATGCGTATTTAACAGTAACTGCGCTTCCCCAGATCAAATCTGTTATTTCAGATCAGTAGTAATGAGTTCGATCCGAACTGGGTGTTTCTTATTAAATATTTTTTAACAGATCGCGACCGCTATTAGGGAGATATGATTAAATATACTTTAATATTAAAAAAATATTCATTATTATTATTATTGTTTAGGTAATAAGCACAATAGCTAAATTGGGGGAAAAGGAATTTTCGACAATTTACGCATTTTTTTTTATGTATTTATGGTTATTTTTTAAACTTTTATCAAAATCGAGATTCTTGTACATGTAGTTATGGATAATTTTATACATTGATTACTAATTTTTTAATTAATAACTATTTGTGCTCAGTTGTTGGCATTAATAGCTATCTGCTGATGTGTTTTTGGAATAATGCAATAATAAAAATTGAAATTTTAATCTCTGATCGATGTCGCGATCTCACAGTGCAATACAAGATTGACGTTATAAACTAGAGAAACAGATTGTTAACGAATACAACTGTGGTTAAGTTTTTCTTTTGTTATGTTTATTAACTCATGTATAGTCGAGATAAAAGTTTTCTTTAACAGATCGTGACAACTATTAGGGAGATGTGATTAAATATACTTTAATGTTAAAAAATATATATTCAATATTATTATTGTTTAGGTAATAAGCATTATAACACAGTACAAAGAGCTATATTATGGAAAAAAGGAATTTTCGACAATATAAGTATTTTTACGTATTTATGGTTATTTTTTTAAACTTTTATCAAAAACGACATGTACATGTAGTTATGGATAACATAATACATTAAGTACTAATGTTTTTAATTAATATCTATTTGTGCTCAGTTATTGACATTAATAGCTATCTGCTGATGGGTTAAAATTTAGGCATAATGCAATAATAAAAATTTAAATTTCATATCTCTAATAGATGTCGAGGTCTGCAAATATTTTTATAATAATTAAACCGGCTTTAATAATTGGTTGTTTCGTTTTCTAAACCCTTTGCAGGTTATTTAAAGCCACAAAATATTTTTAGATTGTAAGAATGTTTTTTTTTAGATATAATGATTTAGTGATACAAGTCTTAGTATTTAACCCACAGCTAGGGGTATTTGTGCGTCAGTGAATATAACAAACCCAACTGGAATTGAAACTTGACTGTCTGATTAACATTTCCGAGCAATTATCCAGTACACCACCCAGACATCCAACTTTACAGTACCTAGTATTCCTAAGCGGTCACCAATCTAGATTCTGACCAAACTCGACGTTGCTTAACTTCGGTGACCATACGAGAACCGGTGTTTCAACGTGATATGGCCGTAAATCCATTGCACCATTTGCACATCCAAGCTTGCTAAACCTGGTATTCCTAAGCGGTCACCAATCTAGATCTGACCAGGATCAACGTTGCTTAACTTCAGTGACCATACGAGATTTACTATTTCAACGTGATATATACAACAAAGTAATTTTACTGAATCTTTACCCAGCAATCTGTTAAAATTTAATGATTATTCAAGCAACTTTCTAAATATCTTTGTCAGGTCATTACAAAGATTTTCTCGTTCTAGTCATAATATTTGTGTGAATTACAATCACGTGAACGCAAATATCGTCGGTAGTGAGTGTGAGTGAAGCGTGTGCAAAGATCAGCGTGACCTTCTTGTTCATCGCTTGGATGTGAAGAAAGATTTGAGGAGGAGGTCAGATTGGTCATAAATTGTTTTAAAAGATTGAAAATAAAATGAGAACTGAATTTGCATACTTTAATTTTTGAAAATTACAAATTATTATTTTAATATTGGCCTTTTAATTACATTTAAAAAAATAAAAACAAAACAAATAAACTTTTTGTTATTCTGCACGCTATAAACACACACACAAAAAAAGAACACGCAAAACCATATATAACCAGAAAATGAATAACTAAATTATATATCTATAATATTTAAAATGGAGTGTTTGAAAATAGTATCGTTCTACAGAAGAGTGTGTCGAATATCATGCGTTTTTGGCGGATGGTGGTTGTTCAGAATATCATGGATGGTGGGCGTTGAGAATACCAGGGGTTGTGGGTGGGTCGTGGATGTTGAGAGTATCATTGATGGTGAGCGGGTCTTGGGTGTTGAGAATACCATCGATGGTGAGAGGATGGTGGGTGGTGAGAATACCAAGGATGATGGGAGGATGGTGGGTGTTGGGAATACCATGGATGAGGGAGGATAATAGGAGAATGGTGCGAGGATGGTGGGTGTTGAGAATACCATGGATGGTGAGAGGGTCGTGGTCGTGGATGTTGAAAATGCCATCGATGGTGGGAGGATGCTGGGTGTTGAGAATACCATGAATGGTGGGAGGATGGTGGGTGTTGAGAATACCATGAATGGTGAGAGGATGGTGGGTGTCGAGAATACCATGGATGGTGGGAGGATGGTGGGTGTTGAGAATACCATGAATGGTGGGAGGGTGGTGAGAGGATGGTGGGTGTTTAGAATACCATGGATGGGGAAGGAAGGTGGGAGGATGGTTGGAGGATGGTGGGTGTTGAGAATACCATGGATGGTGGGAGAATGGTGGGTGTTGAGAATACCATGGATGGGGAAGGATGGTGGGAGGATGCTGGGAGGTTGGTGGGTTTTGAGAATACCATGGATGGGGAAGGATGGTGGGAGGATGGTGAAAGGATGGTGGGTGTTGAGAATACCATGGATCGTGAGAGGATGGTGGGTGTTGAGAATACCATGGATCGTGAGAGGATGGTGGGTGTTGAGAATACCATGGATCGTGAGAGGATGGTGGGTGTTGAGAATACCATGGATCGTGAGAGGATGGTGGGTGTTGAGAATACCATGGACGGTGAGAGGGTGTTGGGAGGATGGTGAATGTTGAGAATTCCATGGATGGGGGAGGATGGTGGGTGTTTGAAAATACCAAGGATAGTGGACGGATGCTGGGCGTTGAGAATACCTGGTGTTGTGGGTGGGTCGTGGATGCTGAGAATATCATCGATGTTGAGCGGATGGTGCGTATAGAGAATTCCATGGATGGTTGGAGGATGGTGCGTATTGAGAATACCATGGATGGTAGGAGGATAGTGGGTGTTGAGAATACCAAGGATGATAGGCTGATGCTTGGTGTTGAGAATTACCGGGATGGTGGGATGGTAATGGTCGTGGATGTTGAAAATGTCATTGATTGTGGGTTTTGAGAATACCATAGATAGTGGGTGTAAGCAACCGAAAAATGTTAATTACAATGGATCCTCCCCCCACACCAAAAAAAAAAACCCTCTTATACACAGAGCTGAAATTTCTTGGACACATCATGACGAAGAAGAATTTGGATCATTTGACACTCACAGAGTCGACTAAAGAGAGAGGACAACCTTACTGTCGTGCTTCTACGAATAGAGTGAGGGACGGAGGTTTGGCAATGAGATAAACGCTGCTAACTATTACAATTGATAGAAAGTCGTGGAGAGCTGTGTCTTTAGCTTCTGTTATCTATCTTCAATGAAGAAACAATGAACGATGATTCTTACAGACAAAGTTTGAAAGAAACACACAAGTTGTAAATTGATGATTCCGGTTACATTTATTATTAATTTGTTAAGATTGAATTCAATTCTTTCACTTACTTGTACATCTTCCGATTTTCATAGAATTCAGAATGTTTAATAGTTCGACAGGCATCTGAATTTCGGAAGCTTGTTGTTACAAGGGGTAATTGTCTTGACAAAATCGAATAGTTAAGTAGATATGAAGAATTATCATCAATTAGGAACGAGATATTCGGGAAGGAAATTTATGTACGAATTCTATCAATTAAGTTAATTTCGTGTATGTAAAAATGAAATCAGATGTTAAAACAAATAGGAAAGTACTGTATTGCTTTCTGTTTCTTTCCCTATATATAAATATTCATGTACATACTTAGTTCGCCAAACGTGATTAAATGACTAAACATCAGGATTTTGTAAGGGTTCAATTCTCGGTTGAACCAAGAACATTTAATCGCCTTTAGGTAGAATTATGATCATTCGCAACTAGTGATATTAACACAGAATATATATATATATATATATATATATATATATATATATATATATATATATATATATATGAAGAAAAGTATACTGAAAAAACAAACAAAAATCCTAATATGCGATTATGCTTTTTTAATGTTTAATGTCAAAGGCTTGTGGAAACAGACTAACCGATATACTTTTATAAAATAAGACAATATTCATCAATCAATCTGTATACCTATATATGTATTTTAATCTGTTAATCTCTCTCTCTCTCTCTCTCTCTCACTATATATATATATATATATATATATATATATATATATATATCATGAACAGTTATTGTTTAATCAACGCCCTAATATTAATTTTCTCTTAAGTACTTATACGTATGGATATGTATGTATATATGTATGTATCTATCTATCTATACTTACATACATACATACATACATACATACAAGCTATTTTATATATTTAACAATCAAACAAATCATTTTACCTCATATGGGGAACTGTCTATTTCGGTGAGGAAAAAGACAGACCACCACTATTCTCGTGTGCCGAAATAGACTATTCCCCATAAAGATAAAAAGATTTGTTTGATTATTACTTATAGTGCTCTGTATAAACAAAATACATCGAAATATTTTTTGTGGATGATTTCTAATATTTTCATATTATTAGGATCTACTGAGATTATATATGTATTTTTACCTTTATATATATATATATATATATATATATATATATATATATAAGAATAATGGATTTATTTTAAATAGGAATTTTTTATTACTTATCGGCTTGTGTTTTTTTATTCCACATATTTTTCTTACTGTAAATGTTATTAAATATTTATACACTAAAATATCGTTTGAAGTAATAAAAAATATGTCGGATTAAAACTAAATTCATTAATTTTTTCTATATATATATATATATATATATATATATATATATATATATATATATATATATATATCCAAGTATAGGATTTGTGTATACGGAATAAATTCCAATCACCAAAAAAATACTATTCTTAAAAGAGCGCTCAATACAGAATAGAGCAAAATATAATTTATTCGAAAATTATAATATAAACTTCTTTTAAAAATCACTATAAAGTAGCCATTTTGTTTCAACACTTCTGGTGTCTTATCAAGTGAGGGTGTTAAATGTAGAATACAGTGTTTTCCTCGGTTTGATAAGTATTGAAACAAAATGACATTTTTGTAGTAATTTTATAACATTTATGTTATAATTTCCGAATAAATTATATATATATATATATATATATATATATATATATATATATATATATATATGTGTGTGTGTGTGTGTGAGTGTATTACCTATGCGTTTCGTCTTCTGATGAACATTATAAACGCTAATATAAGACTTTTATTTTGCAACATGCATTTATAAACAGAAATAAAAATATTGTTAGTTTTTCAAACTTTTTTTTATTTAAGAGACGCCTGCATTTCTGCTGTGAAAGCCATGGTAAACTATGAAGGATGCTAAGTGATATAATTTACTGCTTTAAAAACGACAGCCAGTAGATGTTATTGCTGTTGAATTTTCTTCTTATTTGTTGATAAGTATATATATATATATGTATATATATATTTTGAATATTTACTTTTAAAAAAATACGTACATATATGTACGTGAATGTAATTAGAACGAAGATAAATTTCACAGCATTAATTCAAAAAAACAATAATTATTTATTATAATTTTTTCATATAGACAAAAACAATTTACTCACTACAAAGATGCAACCTGTTGTTAGTTGCACCTCGACTGGTGAGAACCAAAATTGTTATCTGACCATATACAACCATTTTGGTTCTCATCACTCGAGGTGCAAATAAATGCACCGAAACAAAGTTGAATCTTTTGTAGTGAGTAATCTGTTTTTTGTCTATATGATAAAAATTATAATATATATATATATATATATATATATATATATATATATATATATATATATATATATATAATAAAAAGGCTTCAACACTAATATTCCATGGTCATAATTTATTCCATTGGAATCGGAAATACGATCCAATTCATCAGACCTACAAATTCAAAAAAAAAACAGAAAAAACAACTCTGGAAATAAAAATAGAATTTAGAGAGAGTGTAAGTATGAGAGTGTGGGACGAATGTTAGAGCTAAAGAGAGGGGTAACAGACGAGGGAAGGTGGGAGATTAAACCTTAACAGAGAGAAGTTTTAAAGAGGTGAGTTGAAGACGGTTTAAGTGAGAGAAATATGAATGTTGTCGGATGTTTAATTAATTAAAGATGTAACCGGAAAGGATACATTTTGTGATGACATACACACACCATAGACGATCTAATCTTAAAGATCAGAAGAAGAGGGAGGGAGAGGAAAAGAGAAAAGGGGGTGGGGGAGAGAGATGGGGCGGGGGAAACTAAAACTGAAGTGCATTTACTGAAAGGGCCGCTGTGTAATTAAGAAAATTTGACAAAATTAATATCTACTACAGGTTACAAATCAAATATAAACATATAAAAATAAATATAACGATTATCTAATCCAGCAAGGACCTATATTTTTATGTCCAAAAACACATGCGTATACACACATATACAATAAGATATACACGTACATACATACACGTACATACATACATATAGGCGTGTACCCACATACACACATATATATATACCCATGTACACACATACACATATATCCACATATACACACATATACATACATATATATATATATACATAGACACACACACACACACACACATATATATATATATATATATATATATATATATATATTTACATGCACATACAAACACACACATACACATACATCCATACACATCCACTCCTACATATATATACACATTTACACACATATATACATACGGACATACACATTTACACACATATATACACACGGAAATACACATACGTGCATCCGGAGAAATATTGTGATTGCAACTCAAATATGTGTACCCGGTAAAAATAACGTTTTTAATAATTAGAAATAACGTCTGATAACAAATCCATTAAAAATGGACATCACCCAGAGGGTCAACACACCAGCGACAGTCTGTTTCATGTTAACACAATCATTATCATATATATATATATATATCCACGCAGACTGTTTCGCTATATCAAACCTCGTCAATGTGGATAGACATCCGATTGCTTTAAGCCGTGTTTGAAACTCGACTGATCTGGCATCAGTTAGAGAGACTAATCCTAAGCTATTGGCGCACAGCTGAGAAAGGGAATCTTTTAACGTATTATATACATGATGTATATAAACGCTAGGTCAACAGCCAGAGCGCTCAATTCAATTTTGTAGTTTTTTCTTATATTCTCCCACACTCAGTAACCTCTTGCATCTTAGTGACTTTATTGCCTTTCTTGGGGTGGAATGCTTAAAAATATACTTCAGACAAAATGAGCACCCCCCCCTCATGTATATATGCCCATTTTTCATGTTTACTTTTTATTATCATGAGTGGTAATAATAAAACTAATTTTTGCCTATTCATGGCAGTGATAAAATCTTTTTTACCAAGAAACATATCTTTAAATATGTATATATATATATATATATATATATATATATATATATATATATATATATATATATATATATGTGTGTGTGTGCGCATTAATTCACCAGAGATATTGGCATATATCATAAAATAGTATTATCTAAATTTTTAAAATAGTATTATCTAAATTTTTATTAATCAAGTCAGTTTGAATACATTTAAAATTTATATATTTCTCATTCGGCGTATTTTTAGTATTTGCTAGCATTTCAAAGCATACTATTAAAAAGGACAACATCGCTTACTTCCCCTTATATCTATTGATTACTTCCCTTTACTTCCAAACTGCCATTTAAATACTTAGTTGTTTAAAACTTTCAGTGTTATGGAAGTGCGTGTATCTGGTTGGAATTCGTGGCATTGACCTCCTGGGTTTGAAATCCAACCGTGGCAGTTGGGTTTGGGTTCATGCAAATACCCTTTTGTA